TGTTATTGTTTTGATTCCAGGTGAATGAGCAAACCCCTGCTCTCTGTGCTTCTTCAGTCATCTTAGGCATTTTCAAAGCACTTCAAAATACAGCAGGAAACTTGGATCAGGATTTCTCTTTGCACTCGGCTGTAGGCCCCTTACATATCTGAATTAGGAGCACTATCTCTCTAAGGTTTATGTGCATTCAATGGAGAGAGGATGGTGCCCTCAGACAATGGCTGGCATTTGAGATGGATGGAAGCAATGCCTGGAGAGGTCTTTCTGTCTTCCAGAGATGATCGAGGGAATCTAGAGTGACTACATCACTGGCCGGCGCCTAAACAAAGTATCTGAAATCGGATGGGATGAATTGGTAATACAGAAGTATCAGCAAAAAAGTTCAGAAAGCTAAGAAGGAAGATGCCACACATTCCTCAGGTTATAAAACTGATTCCTGACTGTTTCTTTAGTTGGCAAATCTGGGCCTCTAGTTATACAAATGGGAACAGCCCACAGCATCATAACTTGGCTGCTTTTATTTAAGCACTGTCAGAGGGATGATACTGCATTACAGTGGCTCAATGGCTGGCAGAGAGAAGGACAGCATAAAGTGACTTTTCAGAAATGAAACCTCTCCAGATCAAAAATTATCATCATAGGCTCATCAAGTTTGGAGAATTGCAGCCTTCAAAGAATGACAAGTTAATTTTAGGAGTTACCCACTATATAGTGCAGCAAAACAACCAATTAGAATACTTTTCTGCAATCCAAGAATCTCAAAACCGACTCAAGGGCTTTCAGGTTCTTCCATGCAGGGAAGTTTATTTAGAGGTAGAATGTTCTCATTGTAAATCTTGATCTGGTTAGATACGAACACACTAGATCTCCAGAAAAGTTGGGGCAGATGTATTAAAAAAAGATGATATGCTGATGTGCTTGTAGTAAGTGCTGCAGAGGAACATGAATTACCGGATCCTTGGATTTTCAATATGGAAATCTCTTTCCAGCTCCAAGTCCCAGGGGGCTGCCAAACGCCAGGCTACAGGAGCCAATCCTTGCTGAGCGTGAGAAGAGGGGATTTTTTCTTTTTTGCACTATCCTCATGGTTTGACTCAGCACAGGTGCTTATCAATAGGAATAACCCCAGGGAAGTCAGTGCCTGACTGATTTGGGATTATTAGATCTTCAGCTGTGCTAATTTTGAGGGAAAATGGACTCTCTTGACATGCCTGGAACTTTCTAAATGCCTATTTTGCAAGTACTTTTTCTCTTGCTTCTATCACAGCAGGCCTGGCTGAGACCAAAACCCATTGCAAACCCTAGTACTACACAAAACACAGCAGGAAGAATCCATGTCCCACAGATGTTAAATTTTTCTGAAGGTCTGTAGCTTTTTCAGAGTCTGGAATGACACTTCAGGAACTAATGTTTGCAAAATTGCCTCGAGCCACGTCTTTGGCTGAATTAATTTATTTGCAGGCACTGAATGATAGTGGCAAACCAGACAGTGTACCTTGAAATACAGGCACAGGTGGCAATAAAAGTATGGTGAAACCACAGTCCGTGAAATCACTCTACCTGTTGTTCTTGAGTGGTTTTGAAAAACAGCATTCTGCTTTGTAGCCAACTTATTGACCTCTCCAAAATAAGCAAATAGCACCTAAACTAGTGAGTTGGATACAGAGGTAAGCTGTATTAACCCTTTTTCTTACCATGCCTTTTAAATGATAAGTAACTGAGAGAGTGCTGTCAGTCTGCAGTCAGTGCTCAGACACATGTGAGCCTTTGTCGCTACCATGAAAGAAGCAACAGCAGAACTTGCACTTTCTGCTTGCTGTTAGATCATGAGTCAAATCAAGCCAGGAGCTCTTAGTGTCAGCTCTGAAGCCTGTTTCATACAGATGAGGTTTTCAGCAGTCGATCCACACGCACTGTCACAATCAGGGGCATATTGGCTCCACGCCTGGAGTTCGATTGTTCCCATCATGCTTTCTGCAAAGTGTATAGAAATCCCAAGTAGTGGTCTCTTAAGCTTTTGTATATGAAAAGGACGTAAAATATGGAGAGCTCTGTCTTCTCTAGATTTGTCAGTTACTGCACAGATAGCTACTGTTTGTAGCATTCTTCACACCTTCTAAATAGGGGCTGTCTCTTCTGCTGCTGGCCCAACATGCGTATCAACAAAGGGGAAATACCTTCTGTGCTTGAAATAACCTCACAATTTTCACTCTGCAACATACAAACACTTCCACATCTGACAGAGAAGGGAAATACAAAGAGGTTTGTACAATTTGCTCTGCCCCATTCCTGAAGGTGTTCAAGAACCATGGAGATGTGATGCTTATGACCACGATTTAATGGTCAATACTGCTGGTAGGTGGACAGTTGGACTCAATTATCTTGGAGGTCCTTTCCCACCTTAATGAGTCTGTAATATTATTATCTTGGCAACATTTAGGTAGTCAGACCCTGTAGAATTGTTACCATGTCAGAAGTGAGGGAGTGAAAGGTGTTTCCTGGCTAGACCCAGGTGTACCTTACCATCCTTCCTACAAGAGGGAAATCTAGGTGCAGGCTGGAAGGAAACTACCCTGTAAGCCAGTCACATTAGTATCCAAACCATTTCAGGGCAGAATGCCACCTAGATTGAGTCTGGCTTGGACACAGAAGATTTTCCTGCATATTTTCTGAGCTGCCCATCTCTTTCCATCTCTATGAGTTGGATGTTGATGCTACATGTTGCACTTTCTGTTCTACCTCTTGCAGCCTGCAAGCATAAAATGTTCTGCTTCAGGATCTGTGTCTGATGTTCAACCCAGTTACACTGCAGATGGCCTCGATGGTCGGGTCCTAAATCACAGTGTTGTAAATGAGGGGGAAATTTTGACACAGCAGTTCTGTGTCTATAAAACTGGGTAAGTTAAAACAGTGTTTGGCATTGTGAAAAAAAATATCAAGTGGTGCAGAACAGTACGTGTGAGATATAGTAATGCCTACAGATGATAGAGGGAGGTTTGAAAAGAAGAATTAAATGAGAATGATTACTTAAAAGAATGAATACAAAGCAGTACATGAGGTGAGGCATGCTTCCATGATGGCAATCTCTGTTCTGGGAGAGATAATTGCCTCTGGCTTGTCTTAGCAGCAGTAAATGGCACTGTGCTGGGTAGCAGCCCTGCTAATGCAGGTTGGTCACATCTCAGAAGGAATATACAGCTGGGCAGGAATGTTTCTTAGCAGAGAATTTACCTGATCCTTGTTGTGTACAATGCAAAGGGAAATTAGCTGTCAGATTTTCTGTTTTCACTTGGGAGAAAACCAGAACACTTCAGGACTGTACACGAGAATGAAGCTGTGGAAATAAAATACTGTCAGTCAAATAGCTCCACCCTCAGCCAAAGATCCTGTTACTTAATCAAAGGGCATGCAGAGGCCTCTGGGAGATGCACCTATTGGCGTTTGCTGCTATAAAAAGCAGTAGTCGAGCACGAGCACTTCCTACACATTTCAGTGCAGATATTACACACCACAATGGCTCCTGAGAAACAGCCAGTAATAGTTTTCTGGTTTGTGACAGGGTGCTCTGACTCCTGGAAGAGAAGGTAAAACAATACAGGGCCTCACACAGCACCTTCAGAAGACAGCATGGTTCCCACTGAGCAGGCTGGGTCCCACATGGCTGGCTCAGCATGCATGGAAGACAGCACAGAGCGGGGTCTTCTGAGCAAGGTGAGGGAATGGACTTCCGACTTCCCATTCCCGTGAGCTTTAAGAATAAAGACAGGCAAAACACGTGCCCCCAAACCAACAGTCCTTCCAAAGCTGTGTAGCAAGCAAGGTGTTCCTGAAGATACGACAGACCATAATAGTGACCAGGACTCTGTGTTGGTGGTCACTGGACAAAGACAATCTGACAGGGAAACACGAACACATGTGGATTTGGCACCAAGAGGTGCAGATCTGTTTCTCCACATTGGCACAGGCCTTCCAAGTGACTGTCCCTGTGCTTTAGTCCCTTCTATGAAAACGGAGCCTAACTGCTCTCACAACCTCTCCTTCTTCCTTCGAGATGCATTTCTGTAGACTGTGAGCTTTAGTGTAAATCTTCTCCTTCAGCACTGTCGTTAGATGCGAATGCAACAGTGCAGTCAGCGCCAGGTGAAGGTGGGAGTCAGAGCTCAGGGACTTCAGAGGAGACTTCTCACTGGTGCTGTCAGGCCTAAACAGTCATTAGTGGCACAAAGTGTACATCAAAGTGGTACAAGTTGTTTTCTCTGCAGGAGCTTTTCTGCATGTCACAAAGGCCCTGATAATCCTGTCATGAATTTATGAAGACCCTCAGGGAGATTTAAGCAGTTATGTTGTGGGCACCCAAAGTTGAACATATGTTGGAGAGATGAACCCAGCTGCATTATGCCAAAGAATCAGTGGACAACATGTAGGGCTGCTCCAAAAGTAACGCCTCCTATTTGATGGTGTCGGCCCATCGTGTCAGGGGCAGATGGTGGTGGGACGGCAGCAGAGGTTGAGCTTTTCTACCAGAATCCCGTTGCATGTTGTTGCCATGTGACAGACGGCAGCGGAGGGACAGTCTGACGGAATGGCGGCAGAAAGAGGAGGCAAAGCCTTCGGAGCTACCCACGTGCCAGTGACACCGGGTTCTCCCCCGGCTCAGGCTGAGCAGCGCAGGCAGCACCGGCCCGCACAGAGCTGGGATGCAGCCGTGGGGCACGTGTAGGCGTCACGGAGCAGCCCCTTGTGGCCTCGAGCGCGAAGCTTGCAGAAAGAATTTCGAATCTTTGAGTCTTCGTTAGCCTCCACGGCGCGAGATCAGCAATCGCCCGTTTATCGTCATCCCACAGAAGATAAAGAAGGAAACAGCCTCAGCTCTCGGTTCGATGGGGCACGGGAAAGGAGCCGGGCACGAGACCCGGGCACAGCCCGCCCCTCCCCGCCGCCGTGCCGCGTCCGTGCGACACCGTGCGGCACCGCGTCCTCGCGGCCGTGGGTCGCGGCCCGGCCGGGGCGGTGCGGCGGGCTGACGTCACGGCGGGGCTGGCACTGCTCGCCGGCGGAGCGAGGCCACGGCGGGAGCGGGACGGCGGCAGGTAGGGGCGGCCGGGCGGCGCTGAGCGCGGTGTGCCGGCCCGGCCGCACGGGGCTCGGGGACCCGGGGCTGCCGGGTGCGCGGCGGGGAGGCGGGGCGCTCCGCCGGGCGGCGCGGGGCTGCGGTGTGCGGCCCTCCCCGCAGCGCCCGCCGGCCCCGAGCCGGTGCCGATGGGAGCCGCGCGGCTTGCGGTAGGAAAAACGAGCGCGGCTCGCGGGAGAAGGGCCACGGTTCGCTAGGTGCGGAGTCGGGAAGATTCTGACGTAGAAGGCTTGGTTGTTTTTAAAGGGGAAGATCAGTCGGGTGAGGCCTGAACGCCGCCGAGCCCGAGGCTGTGCGTCTGCAGCTGTGCGGTGGGAAGGCGGCGGCAGCCCGGCACCGCGGGGCGCGGCAGCTCCGTGCGCGGATCCGCGCTCTGACGGCTGCATCCGGCGCCCGCAGCAATGGCGAGCTGCACCGCGGCCTAAGCTGGGTTCGCGGCTGGCTTTTTCTGTCAGCCAGCTAGCGAGAGGGCGACTGGAATGCGTGGTTGGACGTTCCGTGCCGTGTTCGGTGTGAGGGAGCGGCGGGGAGCGGCCCCGCACCTCTACCGTGTTTGCCCTTGTGCTCCATGGAGGGCGTTCTTGCCTTTAGGCTTCAGTCACCGACAAACTTCTCTCGAGGTTGATGATACAAAACCCTGACTTATCTGTGTTTAATGGCCACTTCCCGTGCTGGTCACACGGAGCTGGCTTCACAAGCAGATACTGCACAGCTGCTGCTTATCTGCCACAGCTCCCCGCTAGCTCTGGGAACACTCTGCTAGACATGGTGTGGGCTCAGTGTAACACTGCATTGGACTCTCAAGTCAGTGCTTGCACTTAAAAAGGATCAGACAAGAATATCAAACTGATTTTGCACCTCCTACTTTGGTGCTGACAGAATGCTCTGTGTCACTCATTGCCCTCTATCTGGAGCAGAATTTTGGGGCACTGAAATTCTGTGTTGGGAAAATGCAGTCTGTGCCTCTGAGATTACACACGGGGTGCAGTACAGCTGGAGGACTCTTTGGTGCTGGAGCCCACGCTAAGTGTGAGATGGCCTGCAATGTGAGACTTGGGTTGTCAGGCCCTCTGTGATCTTCAGTTTGTCAAGAGACAGCTTTTCTTCATTTCTTCCTCCTTTTCTGTCTAAGTTGTGTCTGATTTTGCTGTTGTGTAACAGAGTAGGTTTAAAGGCAGCGTCAAACGTTCTTTAGTCTAATCTAGCTCTTGCAACTGAACGGAAGTTTGAGCAAGTGCTTTATGGGCTCTTACACTATTAAAAGGCCTCTGTAGATTCACAGGGATTTCACCTGGACGATGTGGAAGCACCAGCAGAGTGCTTCCATTCCTGGGAAAAGGATGTGCAAGAAGAGAGATTCCTTCTGAGGGAAATGTAGGGGAGCACTTATTGGAGCAGCTAAAGAAAGAGGCTCAGGGCCTTTGTCTACATGGAGGAATAAATTGGCCCCAATTTCAGAAACCCCCCTTCTGTAGCCCAGTGACAGCAGGATGCTCTGAGCAGGACCAGGATTCCAGCAGGACAGGAGTTTCATGCTCCTTTTCATCGGGCTGTCAGCTGAATGTTTGTTTTCCCAGCAAGCTGATACAAAAAACAATACTAAAATGTTTGCATTGGAGTTTCAACCTTAGCTACAGGTGATTCTCACTATTACACAGCAGCCTGTGCTGCGCACAGCATTCCTTCAGTATGAAATCCTGCCGGCCATTGCCTTTAGTTGTATGCTAAAGTCTTTGCCTAGCAAGAGTGATACTTTGTCCTTAAATTCAGGGCTTTCAGCAAACCATGTAAACTCCTCAGCAAAACTGACATTCTCTTGGGAAAGTTTTTGCTCCTAGATAAGGACATCTGGAGCTTAAAAAGCACAGAGTCAACACTGCACCAGCTCAGAGGAGGTAAATTTTACCCTGCCAGATCTGATAATAGGTGCTGTAACAAGGTTGAAATGCCTATAAAAAACATAGTCAGCAGCCATATTTTTTGTAAGTTTCTGACTTCAAACACATCCCTTACGTGGAAGGAGTTCCTGTGGCTGTCAAACCTCATGCTGCTACAAAAGCAGTGTTACAAGGCAGGTTTAAGCATCTGCCTCTCCTTTTGGCTTTACGCCCCTCTAGTAATTTCCAGAAAATGCCAGGGCCGAAAAGTGCTTGTGTCCTTGCTGTTCTAGTTCTGTCCAGATAGTTGTGTTTCCCTTAGTTCCCCCTAGAACACCACTATGCTAAAAAATACAGCTTTTCCTCCAGTATATTCGATGTTTGGTCTGCTTCCTTTGGCTTGCTCGCACACTGGAGGACAGTGGCAGAATGCTGAATGTCAGGTGTGATAGCTTGGATTTCATGTGGATCTTTCCCAGGCCATTTCGAGCTTCATTTAAAAACTGAGCAGAAATGAAAATGTCACTTTATGGGCTTAACTTTTACTTATTTAAATTCATCTTGGAGGGAGCTGGTAACAATTTGGAAGGCATACAAGTCATAAAAACAGCTTTCTCCTTCCTGTTCAAGGTTAAACTCTTTCAGCTTTTGTTTTGGCTGGACTTTGAATCAGTGAATGAAAAACAAAAATTAGAAGGGGAAGTACAGAAAAAGGGAGGGAGAGTGTTTGGTAACGGGAGACTGCAGGATAAAAGGAGCACATGTATGTCAAGGAAACAATCTGTAATGGAACCGGTGGTGAGTCAGGGTCACAGGCCTGACTCTTCCCCATTTTGCATTGTTTGTTTGTAAACTTGTGCTTTTCCCACTTTAACTGATGTGTCTCTGACAGTCGCATCAGATTGAACGTTTGTTCCACTTGCTAGGATCTAGAACACTAATTGGGCCTTAGTGAGGATCTTCAGTTGAGATCTGTCTTCTCTGCCTGCAGTACCAGCGGAGTGCAGTGTGGTATTCTAACGTGACATGCCTCTTTCTAATGTACTGCTGTGAAATACTGATGACTGCTTCCTCTCCTTCCTCTTCTGTCCACCAGATTAAGCAACAATGGCGTTTGTGAAGAGTGGCTGGCTGCTTCGTCAAAGTAAGTCATGGGGCTCTCCCCTTTTTCTCCCTGCTGTGTCTGACTCCTTCAGACAACACTGCAGCAGCTCAGCCATTCCCAGGTGTTATTTCTCAAACAGATCTTTATGTCTGCGAGTTGTTGTCCTTGTTTTTTGACTATAGGACACTTCACAAAGGGACCTATCATGGCAGCATTTCCATGTTTCCTTTGGGTGTACTGGTGGGAAACTGTGTATCACAGCTCAGGTGTCCGACTGCCCTGCTTCAGATGCTGTTCTGTAATTAGTGTTACGTAAGTGGAGACTTGGAAACTTTGCCTGACACCTTACATTAATGTCTTCAGTTAGTTATGCCTTCTGCTTGTTCTTGCAGTGGGACAGAATTAAAGCACCAGGTTATGCCCTTAAAATACACTCAGTTGCAACTTGGAATAGATGGAATACAGAACTCAATTCTGTAATGTTCTAAAGCAGGAATGTGGTAGGACAAGATTTTGCCTGGAGCCTGAGAATGCCTTTGTCCTCTGGGGCAACTGGGAAGGATATTTTGGTTTTATTAACTTCAAGACACAAATACCTTCTAATATATGCCTTCAAAAGTGACTGTTTGATTTTAAAGGCACTATTTTGCGGCGCTGGAAGAAGAACTGGTTTGACCTGTGGTCTGATGGCCGTTTGATATTCTATGATGATCAGAATCGCCATGATATAGAAGATAAAATCCACATGAGAATCCATTGCATCAACCTCAGAGTGGGGAATGAATGTCGAGGTAACACTGAGACCTTTGGAATTTGTGTACTGAGAGATTCAGAACATCAGTGCCTGCCCAGCACACCAATTACAGCACTACTTGTGCAGAAGTAAACATGCCTACAAGGTGTGCAGCTTTATTGTTCTAAAAGGAAAAAAAAAACCACAAGAACTCTCCAACTATGATATAATTGCCTGACATGTGTTTGTGGGGTGATATCACCACGTGATAGGTTAGGTTAGTGCTCAATTCTTCCTTTTACAACTCAATGAGGACAGTGTACCTTACAGTGCACCTGTGGGTGGCAGGTTTGCATGAGAGACCAGGATGTTTGCAGTAGGCTTGTGTGTTTGATCATAGAGCATTACTGGTGAAATTACAGTGCTGGCTGGAAGGAGAGTTGGGATGCAAAATGGGAAACCTTAGCAGATTTTTCTCAAGCGTTACAAAGTTCACCTCTGGCATTTATCAATACTCCCCTTGATGTGCATCAGTAAAGGACAGAAGTATTCCCCAAGTACTTACAGCTAGGTACAGATTGGTTCTGCTGTAAGACACTTGCATGTATTAAGAGTGATGTTCAGAGCTAGTTACCTTCAGGACATATTCTAAAGAGAGCAGGTAACGTCCTAGTTTAAGTTGTTTTGATGTCATGGAAAGCAGCTACAATTGGCCACAGTTTATTTTGTCCAGAGTTTTGCATAAGCTATCGCCCTTCTTGTAAACAGGATTGTGAAGTTCTGGTTATAGATTCTTCTTATCTCCTTTTTTTTCCCCAACTCAGATTTCCAGCCTCCAGAGGGAAAGCAGAGAGACTGTTTACTGCAGATTGTTTGTCGGGATGGTAAGACCATCAACCTCTGTGCAGAAAGTGCAGATGACTGTTTGTAAGTGTGCCAAATAATATCATTTTTGCTACTTTTTCCTCTATTATCTTTTTTTTCCCTCCCATTACTTACCATCCTTCCTTTAGATTTTCAGAGACATATTTCAAGAAAATTCTCAAGCAGGATTTCAGTTACAAAAAAGATAGCTCTTCTATGAGCTGTCTAACTCACATAGATGCAGTTCTTGCAAACTACCTGCAAGTTTATTCACTGGAAGCACTGGAGGCTGAGAGGAGTAGAAGCATCTTAGTAATACAGCTAAAGCAGAATATTCTGAATAGATTTTATTTTCACTTCTCTCCTTCTTAAAGTAGCCCATGACCCTCTGTAGCCCAAGGACGTCTCAGTCATTAAAAAGAATTGTACTCCAGTGCTGTGACCTTGGCTGTGTTTAGTTGGATAACATCTACCAGCAGTGTTTGCCAAGTACACGTGGTTATAGGCACACTGTCAGCCATACAGCATGGGAGTGTCTGCATGAAGAGCCTGTGCCTTCTGTTCAAGCTGCTGTGCTCTCTAGTCAGCAGATGCAACTCTTCAGGAAGGGGATACAACTCTTCTGATACATCTCTTCCCATTATTTTGTCCCAAGCATAGCTGCATGTCACTTGCCTGTTGGGCTTGCAGTGAAGGCCTTCAGATGTGTTCCTTGTCACGGTCCTTTTCTTGTTCCTTCTCACTCCATCTCAGCTCTGCTAAGGAAATAATTATTTTTCAATCTTGGTGCTACCTTTGGTGCATTCATTTTACTGTATTATTAGGCTTTGACACATGGAGTATCTGAAACTCTGCTCCTGCATTACCTCTAATTCCTAACATAGTTTTCTTTGTAATACTAAGAAGAAAAAGTGCTATTAATTTTTATCTGTGTTCCACTAAACATTTTTTATTTTTTTGACAGGGCATGGAAAATTGCTCTTCAGGATGCCAGAAGAAACACAGTAAGTGTTTTACATAGACTTTATACCAAAAACCTCTATTAGAGGGCTATGAACATTATTAAAGCTTATAGGCTGGGAGAGGAGTGATCTCTGCATCACCAGCATGTCATCCATGCAGCCAAAGCCAGGCAAATACAGACTGGATGGAAGTGAATGATTCCTGAGAGTGATTTCTCTGACTGGGAATGAATGTTTGGGAGGCTGGTCTGTAAAGGAAGTGTGCACTGAGGCTTTATGCAAATCTGTAACCAGCAAAAATGGTTCTTTTCCTTCTATTTGTGGTATACCAAGTGCTGAAGGAAGCTTACTGCCAGCATACTACACTTTTGAGCTAAAACGGAAGGTGTTTTTGATATAGTTCCATTACACTGCAGGATAACTCTTGGCAGAGAGCAAGAGGTGCCTGGAAGGAAGTGTAGGTATGCCCAGGAGTACATTACCTCTGCATCAGCATGCTAGCTGTGTTTAGTAAAGAGGTCAGAAACCAGAAGGATTTCTCTGTGAGTCATAGAGTTCACCAGAAATGGTATCTTCTGGGAGTTGTGAATGTCTTCTTCCTCCAGAATGCCTTCCAGAATGCTTTTTAGCACTGTCTGTCCTTAGATGACTAGACTGAATCAGCCTGAGATGTTTCAGTGGGAAAATGCTGTGTTTTGAAGAAGCTTGTTTCAGTCTTTGATGGGTCACATTAACATTGCCTCTTCACTGACACATCTGTCATATGATATAATTAAGATGCCCAAAGCAAACACTTGTCATTGCAAAACTATTCTGGACTCAATTGCCTGAGTGCTGCTACACTCATTTTGTTAAATGAGAAGTTAAGTAACTTTCCTCATGCAGAGGACACAGTACTCATAATCTGTCTGCTCTAGTTTCAGTGGATTTATCTTGTTATATGTGAGACAGTGACTCCTGGTTTCAGGAGCTTTTGTTTTTCATGTCCCCGATGCGATGCCAGGTGGCGTTCAAAACCTGCCAGTGCCTCAACTTCTTCAGCCAAGGCAGACCCCTGCCACTGAATGTAGGGCAGATAGCTGTCTGCACAAGATATGTATGAAATTAGTACTTTCCAGAGCTGTTACAGCTCTCCACCTGGACTTGAACTTGGCCAGAGAATTGGATTTGAGTCCATCTGCAGGTGTCTGATACAGCTTTCAAAAACACAGAGCCTCCAGCAGTGCCTCAAAACTTCACTGGAATGACCAGATGATCATCCTAGCTTTGAGAACTGTGTCACTTAAAGACATCTGCAGACTTAAGTCACATGCCTCTATAGAGTTTCCTGCAGCAAACAGAATACATTTACTGTTGAGATGTGAGCACTCACAGAGCTTCATCTCAGTCAGTGGAAATACCCACCTCTTCATACTTTCAACAGTGCATTTCAAACAATTCTCAGAATTTTTATCACAAGTTTCCTTTAGGATACATCCATAATGCACCATCAAAAGTCTTTCTGTAGTCCAGTTAGAAGAGCTGATAGGAGCTATTAAAGCATATATTTGTACACTCAAAAAACAGAGCTGTTTCTTTCTTGGGATAAGTCACAGAGAGCATCACTGTAAACTTCTGGTATCAGGTGCAAGAACACATCTTTACATAATCATCTGTAGAGAGCTCCTTGAAGATGGATTCAGGTAAATTATCACCTTTGTTTCGAGGCTGCCTTCAAAAAGGGCCAAAATTACATGTAGCATTGGAAAGGTAAATTCTTAAAAAACAGCCCTCAAACCTCTGGATTTAAACCCATATATCTGCCTTTTTTATTTTCTTCATTCTCCTCATGGCCAGAAGGTGACAGGTAGCTAAGAAGTTGTGCTAAAATGTGCAGGTGGTACTGTTGGCTGCCACATTTGTTTCTTTTATCTGCTCTTGCTGACACCATTGCACTAGGGTGCCAGGAAGCAGCAAGCTTGATTGTGAACACTTGTTTGTAACTTGAAAACTAACAGTGAACATGACGGTAACTTCTAAAACTGAGATGATGAAAAGAGGGAAGGAATCAGTGTGCTTGTGTGCACACATATGGATAGGAGATACAGGCTTGCTTTGTACACACGCACACAAGTAAGAAATTGTGTGGCTCCCGACAGTGATGATGATGCATTTGTGGCCTCTCAGTCTGTCTGCTCTCCGAGTAGTTTCTTGCTGTGTGTCTTTACGAGGCACTCTCTGCTTTCTTAACATGCAGCAGATCTCTGCAGTTACTTCGGGGGTCATTAAGTTTTAATCTCCTTCCTCCTCGAATTGTCTGTCTGCACAAAAAGGTGTGACTGCTATCTTTCCATGGCATTCAGGGCTACGTGGGATCTGATGTGATGTATGATGAGACAGCAATTTCCTCAGCCCCTCCTCCCTATACAGCTTATGCTACCCCATCACCTGAGGTAAGAACTGCACTTGGGCAGCATTAAAACAAGTGAGGTAGCAGAAGCAAGCATCCTTCAAGCACCCCAAAGTGCTGTGCTGTGCTTCACAGACACATCCAGCTTTAAGGTTTGTACAGATGGGAATGAGGCACTAACAGGACATCCTCACTCCTACTTGAGTGGATCTCCCTGGAAAGGAATAGGGCAGATTTGGCTAGGAGATCTGTTAAGGGGTGGGTGCTCCGTGAACTTAGAAAATAAAGCTTCTTAAAGAGAGGGAAGGAGTCGTTTGGTTAATCTTGAAAAATCTTGGTCATGCAGCCCATTGTGTGAGCACTGAAAGGGTGTAAAAATCAGGAGTTTTAAAAATAGAACTTAATGACTGGAGCTGTCACTTTGAACACATACAAGTTCTGTGGTATACAGGATGTCATAGCAACAAAGTGACTCTAGCTCCTGGGTGCACAGTTGTTCTGCACTGGAGGAGGAACAGAATGAGGGCTGAAGCAGTATGCATTGCTGATTTCTGGATGTTCTGACTTGTGCAGTGATGCACAAAGGTGCAGTTTGGGATGGTACTGTTTGTTGCACCACTTGTGCTCTGCTGCAGCCCCTTACTGCTTAGAACTAGATGTGGTTACTGAGAGCTGTATTAGGGCTAGCATTGGGCTGTGGCTTGGCCTGACAAGCCAGGCCCTGCCTCTGATGCTCACCACCCAGGAAGGATGAGAAGTGATTCCTGCTTAGGAGCATTTCTTTTTCAAGTGTTTGTTCTGAATCCTTTCCAGGATTCTAAGTCAGTGCAGACTCGATATTTCAATGAACATCGAACTGCGTTAGAAATGAGGGAGAATTGAGAACAAAGTGCAGAATTGGAAACATGGCAAAGAATACTTTTGTAATGGACATGTTTTTTAACTTCACCAGGTCTATGGCTATGGCTATGGTCAGTACCACGGTGCATATCCCACTGTGGGTCCTCACATCTTCTATGCCTCCACTGGACAAGCCTACCAGTATCCATACCACGGTAATCACTGTCAACCATATTCTCCATGTTGGAGAAACCTGAGTAATTGACACTGGGGGTTGGGTTTAGATACCACGTTTTCAAGTTCCTTTACCATCTGCTGCTCCTGCACAACAGTGATGGAAAGAAACCCGACTTCTAACTGGAACCAAAGCCCCCTCACCCTTTCACAACAAATTGAGCTCAGTGAAATTTGTATTAAGTGATCTAATGCCCCAGCTGTGATTCCAATATATGTAAGTTGCTTTACAAACTCTTTTCAAAGCACACAGAAGTCTTTAACTGCAATAGTCAGCACATTTTGTAAGGAAACATAAGAAAGTAAGAGCAAAATTAACTTAGTACTCTATTGGGTGAGATGGAAATTTTGATTCATCTTATTTCAGCAGTGGCTTAATTTTTACCAACACTTATCTCCAGCTATGACCTCAGAATTAAATGAAGGCATTCCAAAGGTAGCTTTGTTCTCAGGGCATTTTCTGTTTGCTGGGGTTGCTGTAAATGAGTATATTTAGCTTTGCAGTCTTCTATAGCTCTCAATCTCAATAAAAGAGGAAAGAGACAAAGGTTTACAGTATGCTGTTAGCTTAGTTACCTCAATTTAGATTTATCTTTGCGTATTGAACCCGTCCTACAGAATCAGGGGCTTAGTCTAGCATGGATAATTACTAAGTCTGTATGCTCTGGCTCTTTTTTTTTTTTTTTCTTTTTCATTTTTGAGGGGGATTTTTTAACCATTTGATGGGTTACTTCATTTGCCTTTTCCATTTTTTTTTTGTGACAAGAGAGGTGCACCAGCTGAAAGATTCTACAGCTTTCCTCATCGAAGTTAGTGAAGACCTAAGGAACAGATCACACAAACACACACAGAGTTCTGCAGCGTTTGCACAACTCTGTTGCAGAGCAGGGGTTAATTGCTGGTTTTTAATAGTCTTAGGTTAGTTCTTCACTGCTGGGCCAGTCTTTATCTGAAAAGGCATGTGGCAGCTGTCACTGTGCCACAGATCAGTGCCTGATGCAAAGGCTGAAGTATTAAGGAGCAATTAGAGCAAATAACTGATACACATTTTCTGGCAAACCACTGGCTTAAAAGCTACTGAAGGACTTCACTATTTTTGTTAATTTCAAGGTTGGCTAAATTTTTAGACCCATGTCTTACATTAAGCCACCAATCCTGATGGAATGATGCAAGTCATTCATAGATTCTTTGCAAATACAGATGCAGATTGTGTTCAGCTTTACATTTGCTATGAGCTCTTCTCTGGGATGTTAACTTTTTGTTAACTAGGAGTCTTGCTGGCTTCCTGTAATTTTTCTGTAATTATGGAGGCTGAACCCAAAACAGGGATGTTTCTGTGATTTTGTGATTCTGTGCATTCCACCTTTCTAGCTGACGTCATCATAGCGTTCAACAGAAGGAAGAGAGGGAAGGAATGGACATGTTTTGAAATCCAAATGCATGGTATTATGATCTACATTCCTTCTGCCCTCCTTCTAATAATCTCTTACTGCCTAGGACCATATGGCCAACCCCCTGCAAACCACGTCATCATTCGAGAGCGTTACCGTGACAGCGATGGAGATCTTGCACTGGGCATGCTTGCTGGAGCAGCGACTGGAATGGCTCTGGGATCATTATTCTGGGTCTTCTAGACTACTCATTCCTTATCTTTGTAGTTCCAAAACCTTTATTGTGTGCAATAATATACTGGCAATGTTGTTTACTGTTAAACTTTCAAAAATGCAATAGTTATTTTCTAGTAGTGACATCTTAATAACTGATTCTTAACTGTCCAAAGGAGAGTTTAAAGGCACCAGTTGGTTGGAAAAGGCATGTGCTGCTCTTCGATCTTTTCTGACACAGTAGGTTCTGTAGGGGTGAGGATCAATATGAGCACCAGTGTAACATGGTCAGTCAGCAGTAACCTTGTGAACATACTGCTAACATAAACACCAGTGGAAAGAAAGGCGTTGGGTTTTTTGGGGAGGTCTAAAATCCAGTTCAAATAGAAGGTTTATAGAAGACCTGAGTTAGCATACATATACTGCTGGTTACTAAACATCCCCTGGACAAACATACAGCTCAGCAGAAACCCCTTGGCATTAGGCAGTCTGCCATGCTTAAGGACTTGTGGTTTTTAAGCTTGTCTGCAGACGGTAATGCATTTCCTTAGATAGAATCCTCTGCCTGTCTCTCTCACCCTCTAGGCAGAGTTGTCTGAACACGTATGAAGTGAATGGCTGAGAAGCAGCAGTGGTCTTTTCTTACTATCCCAGAAACGTGAATGACCAGTGGCAAGGAAGACCAATATTTGTTGTTCCAGTTCCTCCAATCAGGGGAAAGTAAAGGATCCTTACCTTTGCAAGGGATCTTTTTTTTTTCTGTAGAAGTCAGACTCCTCAGACACTGTAACCAACTGTGCTGCAGAGGAAGAGGCCATTGTTGGTATCTCTGCTCTTAATGACTGCTGCTGCTCTGTAGAGTCTGCAGGAGAACGAACTTGAACAACTTTGTCAGAATCCCTCTGCATGCAGTATTAGCCAAGAGACACAAACAGCACTAGCAGACCTTGCAGACAGGAACTTTGAAATCAGCTGCCTTGCTATGGCTGGGGTACTGTCTGCCTCTTCTCAGCCTCCAAGGTGTCCTGACCCACGTTCATTACCTGCAACTAGGTTCAAGCACGGGTTTATTCCTGGGTTTATTCATGGGTTTATTCCATGCATACTTCCCCCTCACCTCTCACAGGCTTCTTCTTCCCTTTCATGAGTTAGGGAAAACACTCCAGGGAACCTGGCTGGCTCTGCTTTTATGTCTGGTTCCTTACACAACGTGCTCCTGCAAGCTGCTGTGCTATGGGCTGTAACCCAGAGGGCAACTGTTGTGTGTGTTGTGGCCTGGTTCATTATCCTGCTGTAATCCATGCTGAGCTGTGCTTGGCAGAGGAAGGAAAGCTGAGAAGAAGTGCACGTGGCTTCCTTAATCAGGTAAAAGAGGCAGGGTGCCCAAGACGAGTTCTTTATAGTAAGAGGTCTTATTTTTATACTTCCACTTTCAGCTTCCTGTGATCATACTGTTTTAATGTTAAGGCTTCTTTATATGCTTTCATTCAGAAGGAGATTCATTCCTTTCAGGTTCAGAGGCTTTCAGGTATGTCACGAAAGATGAAAATAAATGAAAATTTGTAAATTTGTCGATCAAGCTCTGACCTTTTTCATTCCATCCAAAAGCCGTTGTGGCTGTATCCTACATATTTAAACAATAGAGGTCTTGGACAAGAATGTGGATAGCAGCCAGGCAGAAGCGTTAAGTTCTCCTGACTCTTAGGACCATCTCCAACAGACTGAAATAATGGGAAGGAAACAGACATGTTATCTTGGCTATATTACTAAAAGTGAGCCTAATCCAGGGAATGTGAATTTTCTAGAAATGCTGGCATGGAGCCCTATATCAGTGTCCTTTCAGAGGTGAATAAAAGATGCCTATGTTCTGCCAATGCTGTGCCCTAAAAGGGCTTCACTTGCTGCAGGTTCAAAAAAGGAACTAAAGCAGATGCTTCCTACTGATAAACACGAAAGGAATGAATGGTGCTCTGCTTAAGTTCTCACAGAGGCCTTGTACCTTTGAGCCCAGAAGGAGGTGGTGACTGCCTGGAACTTTGGCAAAGAAACATTTCTATAACTTTTAAGCCTTGAGATCATTGATTATATATCTACACTGCTGCCTAGTTGTGCTTCTATATAACTAGATGCAGAATGCTTCCATCTCCTCCTCCTGTGATATTTAGCTTGTAAGACGGGAAGGAAATAAACATAATTCTGATTCCTTTTGAATTTCATAGTGATTGTTAAAGAACAACACAAAGTGAATTAGCTAGTAAGTTCAGAGTTGTTTTGTTTTTAAGAAAAAACAGCTGTTGTGCACAGCAGGAGAACGTGTATATTGTGTTTTCAAGAGCTAACTGTATCTGAGAGCCCAGCTTCTTCAAGTGAAGTATTTAAGACAAAGATATTGGTCTGGAGAAGAAGAGGCTCGGGGGAAACCTTATTGCTCCCTACAACTCCCTGAAAGGAGGCTGTGGTGAGGTGGGGGTCGGCCTCTTCTCATAGTGATAGGATGAGAGGGAATGGCCTCGGGTTGCACCAGGGCAGGTTCAGGTTGGATATTAGAAAAGATTTATTCTCTGTAAGAGTGGTCAGGTGCTGGAATGGGCTGCCCAGGGAGGTGGTTGTGTCACCATCCCTGGAGGTGGTGTGTAATGTGGTACTAAGGGACATGGTTTAACTATTGGTAGTATGGTTGGACTGGACGGTCTTGGTGGTCTTTTCCAACCTCGGTGAGTCTGTCATTCTATTCTATGATTCTTGGATTTAAAATCAAAGCAAGAAATTATTTACTTTTAACATTCAAACTGAATCAAGTTTCCATTAAAGATTCAGCTTTATGAAAGAATTATGAATTTCTCAGTGCAAAGAAAATACAAATCGTTCATTTTCAGAACAGATCACAATTATAGTCCTAAACATGTGCTTTTTTCAGCTTCATGCTGCAGCAATGCCAGTTTCACCTGTAGAGTACCAGGCATGTACCTTCCTAGCTGGGGCCTAACACCTCTTACAGCCATGAGAACCCCACCTCCACTGCAGTGGCACTCTTCTTCATAATGCATACTATCTGTTAATGACACAGTCTGTTCCATAGCAGTTAAAGTCTGTTCAGAATTACAGGGCAGGGCTCACAGAGTCTACACATTCACATAGAGACTCAAAAGCCATGGATGCAGCCAAGCTTTTTGAGAATGAATTGGAAGCTCTCCGCCCTCTTGTATGCCAAACCATCTTAAAGAACTGAAGCAGGGCTGCCTGCAGGATTCTTAGTGACATGTGGAAACATATCAGCTTGTGCTGCTTAAAGGAGAGGGTCTGAGGAGCTAGCCTCTGTGAGAGGGTAAGGGCTTAGGAATAACAATTCAATACGTGAAGATTCAACCAGCCGAGCAAGTTGAATGAAGGCAAGAATACACAGCTGCTTTCATCAAATGTGTCTGTGTCCTTTCCTCCTCATGATATGGCCAAGATTTATGTATATGTCATGGAGGGTAGCATGCAGGAAGTGCTTTTCCCCCCCACTCTAGACCATTCTTGTTTTTGCACACTACCATAAATGCTGCTTTTCCTATACATCCTTTCTAATTTTTAGCAAAATATCATTAGCAATAAAATTCATATTTAAGTGTGTCTTGTCTTTATGTCTGATTATTCCAACAGTTCTCATGTAGTTAGTTTGTGGATGAGTGCATGTTTTCTTTCCGTAGTCAGCTTACAGGATATCTCCATTGCAAGGTGGTCAGAAAACAGTGCTGCGATTCATTCCATGCCCCTCCAGTCTCTCCTGAAGGCCTGAGTTACAAAGGCCAGCAAAATGGTAGCAAAATGCAGCTGGAGAGCCGTGGCTGTCGGAGCTGAGCTCAGGCTGACGAACCTTTGTGCTCACCACTCAATAAAGATGATGCAATATCTGCACAGCGACCAAGTAAGTGCACTGACTCCACTATACTGAGATTAGAATTAAGGCCTATTTCTTTTTTAATGGAGTTGAAGGCTTTGCCTCAGAAATGCTTAATCTTGGGTATATGCAGAGCTGATCCAGATTTACCATTTGACACCGTTATCAAATCAACAGATTTGTGCTGTTTAGTATGGAAATAAGCAGCTTGAAGCACAGATGTTGCTGTGGGCAAAATGCTACTGTTTGCTCTATTGGTATTTTCTGTTTATAAATTGCTTTTAGTGGAGTTGGGCACAATCAATATGTTTGTGTAGGCAAAGAAATTACATGACCACAGTAAATCCGCTACCTAAAAGCAGAATGGGAACTGAACTTGTGCTTGTTGGAAGGACCACAGCACACTTGAAGCACCACCCTTTCTTTCTGCACATTTTGCTCTTGTTGCCTGAGAAGCAGTGTTTTGTTAGCCACTAATCTGGGAATGAAAACAGAACTGCTGTTTCAGCCAGTCGGCTGACAGAGGAGTGTGTCTTGCTTTTCTCCCCAGCTTGCTGTGCTGGCTTTTCTAATTTCACTGGTGCTTGCTTGCATCTGATGTATTCCCCAGCATAAGCACGCTGCATTACATTCACCCTGCCCACCAGAGCAAGGCAGTGAGCTAAATGTGCTGTGCAGGGCTTAGCTGCTCCACGCTGCCACAGACATACAGCTCAGACAGCAGGCTTTGCCTCTGCTACTGCTTTCCTTTCTACCGCACCTCCTGTCCTGTTTGTGGCCCCTATTTATGACAAGAGTAATTAATCTAAGCTGTATTCCTTCGGGTTCCTCTCACGTGTTGCAGCTGAGATGTGCGGAGCATTGCAGAAGTGGGAGCCGTGCTGCCATGTCTGTGGAATTGAAAGGTTCCTTCATTACGTTGTCAGCACCTATTAGAAATCAGACCTTGGAACAGCAGACTGACATTAATATGCTGGTTTGGAGGCTTCTGGTTACCACAGGCTATCTCATCAGCTTTCAGAGTCTCCGAGGCATTTCCAAAAGACTCCAGACTCACCAGGCAAATAAAGCCTCCAATGATTCTGACAGCAGCCTTGCATTATATGAACGAGAGCTACGGGAAAGAAGGGGACAGACCCTTTAGCAGGGTCTGCGGTGGTAGAACAAGGGGAAATAGCTTCAAGCCTAAAGAAGGGAGATTTATGTTGGATATGAGGAAGAAGCCTTTTACAGAGGGGGTGGTGATGCACCGGCACGGGTTGCCCAGAGCCTGAAGGCGGCGGAAAGGTGCCGACACGCACAGCGCCTGCACGCAGCGGCCGCCAGAGGGCGCTGTGCCACCGGCCATGGCGGAGCGGCTCAGCCGCCCGCTTCCCGCCGGCGCCCTGCTGGGCGGCCGCACCCACCGCCCCGTTCCTTCCTACACAGCGCCTCCCGGGCAGCGCGCTCCAAACATCGGGAATAGCAGAGCGCACGGGAAATCGCGCCCAGTCCGCGGCTGCCCCACCAGCGCTTCCCCTCGCTGCACTCAGAGCAGCGCGGTCCCACACCGTTCTCCGTGCCCTCGCGGAGCTCTGCCGCACTCCCGCCTTACAAATAACAGCCTGGGCCAATGATAACCATCGCGTTCACGCGCAGCAGAACCGGCAGGGCTGCAGCCTCTGCAAGACAACGTTTTCCAGCTCTGCTGCTGCTGAAATGCACCTTTTCATGGGAACGCTTGCGGGCATTATTCTGAAAGGCCGTTTCCATGCCAAATTTCCACGCTCACATCCCTAGCTGCTGCAGCTGATGAGCTGTTTATGATAAAGTCACGGGGTTTTTCTTTTGCTCGGAAGGGATCTGTTCAGAGACTTTTTGTTCTTATCAACGTGAGCATCATCAGCACGTAACTCTGCTTAACATCTCCACACGGCTGCCTGGTTCAGCAGGCGGAGTGTGACTGCCAGGCCTGTCGAGCCATGCCTGGTAACTGGTACACTCAATACACAGACTGAATCACAGCTCTCTAATCAGTAAATTTGTTTGCTTTTGCCCCGACCAGCTGACTAAGGGAAAACAGAGGCAGAAATTTGTTCTTCAGCTACTCTGGAAAAACTAAAGTAAGCCGTCTCGCTAAAATTCCTCCTGATGCAGAGGTTTGCCATAATGCCGTGTGGGCACGGATGGAGGCAGATAATCAGAGGCCTGAAGAAAAGACACAGAAGTGAAGCCCCTGTGACCGGCACGTGGCTGTTGGCTTGATTCTGGAACAAATCTTAGTACTGATTTCTCAGCATTTACCAACACCACAAGGCATTTTTAATTTCCATGTTCCTCAGCCTGCAGATCTGACCTACCCATCTCCTAGTCTCAGCACAGCAGACACTTTCCTCTTCCCAGACAGGCTCTGAACAATGGCACCTCTTACACCTTACCCCAAAATCAGTGTTCTCAGTATCAGATTCGGATGGTTGAGAAGTAATAAGGAAAAGTACTCTGGCTTCCCATACCCTGTAGTTTTCTCCAAAAGATATTCAATCACCCCCTGCTGCTTTTCTTTTTTCCTTTCTGAAAACTTCACCATTGTCTCGCTGAGCTAAGAAAGCAAAATTGTGTAAAGGCCAGAGTAATCCCATCAATCAATAGCTATATTTCTACCTGTTTTAAAACCAGTTGTTTCAGATGTCACTATTCCAAACGGCTTTTTTTTCCTCATCAATATCTCTGTCAGCTGTGCAGATAACCTATCAGTGGAACTAATTGTTAAAGCTGCATGCCTATGAGCGCTCAGACTGGGATGTGTTGTCCTTCTGTGAGTGCAATAGGAAAGCCTGAAATAAATTCAACCCAGGCAAAATGCAAGTTCTTTCTGGGGTGGGTGTATGTCAATTGAGTTGAACAAACATTTCTGATGTTTTCTTTGTCCTCAACACAAAAAATAAATGCAGAAATGCTTGCTTATTTCAGCTCTGTCAATAGCCTGGCCCAAGCAGTCAATGTGCTCTACTTTGGGCACGGAAACAGCTCTGTTGACTTGAGTGGCACACACACACATGCATCTTCAAGGTCTTGCGTCACTGGATAGGCCAGCATTTCTGTAAGAAACAAAGCCTGTGAGCATTTGAGGGGAGGTGGATTTCTCTGTATGTGGTGCAAGAAAACAGGCCAAGCTCTGAACCACTGTAAGAGAACACTAGTGAATCCACATGTCAGCTTGCACCCTATTTTATTGCTAATGAAGGCTCTCAAAGTTCCATTTCAAGTAAAGGAAATGCCTGAGCTGGAAACAAAACAGTCTGCTTTTCCTTTCAACTGAAGTTTGACCAAGTGTTTCAGAAGTGACCCCAATATGATCTTTTGCAGAGGTGTCAGCGTAGCCCTTTGTGCACAGAATCATCTACAGGTGCTGCACACTGCACTGTATTTTAGTGAGTCTCGGGGAAAAGAAGCTCAGGGCTGCATTTGGTTGTTTCTGTTAAAGACCACATGGCAGTGTGAGCTGGGAGGTACGACTGTGGTTTTATTTAAATCCCTGCACACCCCAAGTGAAGGAGACACAGGGATGAGGATGCACTGGGATGAGGTGTTCACCTGTTGGGCTATGAGCAGCAGCAAGTACACCTGAATTGGGATCTTACCGCAGATAAAAGCAGGCTTTGGTCACTAAAACCACCCATTTTATACACGGGCCAGATGTAGTGAATGATACTCTCCTGAGGACCTATCCTACGTTTCCAAGCAAGGTTTTCACTGTTCCACTGACCATTTACAGTGAAGGCACAACAATTTCTCTTCCTTCCCCACCACGAAAGATCAGCGTTCTGTACAAAATAACAAAGATGGACTTTCTGTGGTATATCTTACAGGAAAACCATTCTTCTGACCAGCTCTCCTAAAAGCGTTACTTAGACATGCAGGTGGTCCAGAGATGAACACATAACTCTTACCAGCTAAGCTTACTTTCCTATCATCCAGCAAGATTTCTGCCTCGCAGCTTAAGGAGATGACTGTAATACCATGTGGCAAACCCACAGGTATCAGTTCACTCCCCTGCTGTCACATCTGCTGCCTCCACCTCACTTAACTCTGCTCGGCTCTGTGCTGCAGGGGACCAGGTGGCAGGCAGGGCTTCTCACAGGACACAAACAAAAGTCAGAAAAAGAGCAATATTTTAGTATGATCGACTCCTGAGGCAAGGTAGAATGAAATCCTTCATCTCCTTCCTACATCTGATCTGCTTTTCTTTTGTTTGTTTGTTTTTTTTTCTCTTTTCTATGATATTCCTTTAATTAGGCAGCTGTTCTCAGGTGCAAGCCATTTGAAAGCAGCTTCATACCACCGAGTTTGTGATATCTCATTTATCTCCAAAGCCACCTGCTGAGCACCCTGCCAAAGCTAACTTAGTACAGTCTGGTGGGCAGGCATGCAAGAACACTGCAGCCCACTACATTCTGGTTGTGGGTCCTTACTGCAGTAATTTCCATACCTGAAACAGAGTCTTAGTAAATACAGTATCTTTCATCATGAATGAAGATCCTTTCTCCAGGACTGTCTTATCATTAACTCCTATCATGACACCACCAAACAACTGGTCTGCATCCACAGGTTGGTTTCATTTCTGCGATTGCTCACTGAGGTACTGCAGTAGGATATCATGAACAGCACAGTGCTTTACTTGATACAGAACCATTGGTAAGCAGCCACGGTTTGCAAAGCTGCAATTGCCTCAACTGTTAAAACTGGGAAGTGGAGAGCAAGACTTTACATTAAGTGAAACCAATTCCAGAACATGTACCTGATGCTGAGAAAAGTGACTGTTCTATTTATGTTGTTATATAACTGAGAGACTGAGCAAGTTCTTCCACTTTGCCTGTCTGTTGGGCTCAATCATTTCAGTCTACCCCTTCGGGTGATCTCCAGGGCTTCAACCCGTTCTTATGTTCAATACAGTAGCAATCAATGTTGTAAATACTGCTCAGGCATAACTAGAGGATAGGGACCTTCAAATGCTGCTTTGCGCCATCTGCGTGAACTCGGTGCCACTTTCCCAGGCCTGACTCTGTTCTGAGTGGGACAAGCAAGCTGAGCACCAGCACCCCACTGTCCCCACAGCCCTAGCTTTGAGCTAGATCTTGCTTTTTCTGTGGTTTTTCAAGACCACTGGATACAGGATTTTAATATGGAGGTTTTGAATCCTTTTCTCTGAAGATTATTTGAAGCAGAAGGATGGTTCAAAGAAAGAAATTGAAGCTTACATGCTCAGTTGGTTGCATGCCCAGAGCTGAAATTCCTGTGCACAGGCCAGCAAGTGTTTGCTACTGTCAGCAAGCTTTCTGCAAATTGCTGTGCAGCTCGGCAGGAACAGCTTGGCGCTCAGATTTGCTGTCGTGATCATGCTAGTTCTTTCTAAGCTGGAGCAGGATCTCAAAACAAAGCAGGAGTCCTGCTCTGCAAGCCCTGCTTCAAATACAGCATGGAATGAGAGGCTCCAAGCACCACCAGGTAAGAATTTTTAAACATAAGAGCAATGCCTGCAAATCAGTCCCATTTCAGGACAGTGTGATTGATCTACACCTGTTCTGGGATGGCTCTGCTGGATGAAGGAGACACGACGTTGATAGAAAACAAGGTGTAGAGTCAGTGCTCCTTGCAGGTGTGCCACTGAGCACAGGTAAAAGGCACGTGGAGCTGCTGAAGGCAGGCAGGGCATGTGCATGCTGTGCACGTGCTGTCGTGGTGGGGGTACTCTGCTTGAGCCAGGCCTTATGAATACACATTATTTCCATTGCTTCTTCAGCTCCAGTAGGCACAGCTTTACCTCTCTGCATGACAAATACACACTGGGCAGTGCTTTCTGTTATGAGTTTAGCTTGCTTGACTACCACATGCATCAAGGCCACGACCAGGCATCCCAGGGCTGCCAGTCTGTGTGCTGAACCGTGGGAGGTTTTAAGATGAGAAAGATGGAGGTGGGAAGCGCCTCTGAAGGATGGTAAATCCATAATTGAAATCAGAGAGTAAAGGGCCAAGCAAATAGGAGAGCAAGAACAAAGGGAGAACAGAGACCTGGGCAGAAGTCTTCGGTGGCTCTCAGAAAAACGACC